CCTTATTTTGTTATGTACTCCTGAAAGGTATGTGTAAATCGGCTCTTGCTAATTGAGTCTTGTTTTAATGGTACTTTAAGTGCTTGCTACTGAAAAATCAATGATTGAATCATTTGTAAAGCACATAATGATCTCTTAATTGGTCAAAGATGTGAATCAAAGTTTTTCTATGTTAGTTTTTCTTAATATCAATATCTGTACATATTGTCATGCATTTTCCATGTGTTCAATTCTGTAGACATTTATTGATTACTTACTCTGTGCCAGGGCCGTGCTTGTCTAACCGGGCCTGCAAAGATGAATGTGGCCCTGCCCTGCCTTCAAGGGGAACTGAGTACCAGTGCTGTGCTGGAGGGGTGGGCTTCCACGAGGGGCTGGCCACTTCTCACAGAGAAGGTTCTACTTGCCCTGAGTTTTGAAAAATCAGTAGCTCACCAAGGAGTCTTTTTGTTAGTTTTCAAACCCTTGAGGGCAAAGCCGGCTTAACTAACTTCGTATTTACCAAGATAATTTTGAGTTCACTGACTCAATTCCCTCCGTATTAAAAGCGTTTTTGAGTACCTCCTTAAATAGAATAAACTCTTAAGTGAAACTGCTTTGTAAACTGAAGTGTTTGCATATAATTGGAATTATGATGAGTAAAGAAAATAGACTTTGGTGTCTGATGTTTAAATTTTGACCTTGCCATTTAGAAGCTCTGTGATGTGAGCATGTTACAGTCTTCTCTAAGCCTCAGTTTTCTCATATATGGAGATGGCAGTTATAAAGAGCTGCCTTATAGGGCAACTGTGCAGTTTCAGTAGTATGACATGTAAAGGTGTAGCACATGCCTAACACAAAGTAAGTATCCAGTAAATGTTAGCTGCTGTAAGTGCTGAACGAATATGATGTATTCTTATTTTATTAATATTACCATTTGCTAGGCAATCGAGGGGTTAATACATGGATGAATAAACAGTCCATGCTCTGCAGTGGCTCCTCTTGGCAGGGGAGAAGGACATGACACAGAATTTCAGGCCCAGCAGGCTATGGGATGCTCAGAAGCCAAGGATAATGGATGCACAGAGGAGGGAATGGGTCTGGGAGGTGAGGTGTGAGATTGGACCTGCATCTTGAAGGATGAGTAGGATGCTGACAGGCAGAGATGGCAGGCAAGGCATTCCTAGCATGGGACACAGCCTGGGCAAAGGCACAGAGCAGCCAGACGTGGCTGGCTAGGCCGGGTGTAGGGGCAGGAGAGGCTTGGCAGTGTTAGGGTTGGTTAGAAAGACAGAGTGTGAGTATCTACAGCCAGGCATCATCACTGTGTGCTCTGCATTCTCAGAGATGAAATTAACGTGACTCGTCTGTCTCTTTTGTAGCTCGCTCTCAAAAGACTTCAGGCATTGGGCGACTAATGGTGCATGTCATTGAAGCTACAGAACTAAAAGCCTGTAAACCGAATGGTAAATGCTTCTTTCATTCAACAGACGTGGTAACTGCCCCGCTTTTGCTGATGACTCTTCTGAACACTGAATAATGGGATGCTTTTAAAAAGTCAGTGTGTCCAATGCCACTAAAATGGTTATTGGACCAATATTATTATCACTCAGTGTTCCCACTAAGTACCAATGCCTCCTTCCTCAGTGCTTCTGAGTGGAGAAAGCACGAAGCAAGTTGCACTGACACTTGCCCAGGCTTGGGGGGAGCCCCGGCGTTTGAGCCTGCATGGTTGCTGCCCTGGTTTATGATGCTGTCAGCATTGGGAACAGAGACCACAGGCAGATCTGGACCCCTGCTGCGTGGTCTACAGAGAAGCATCCCTTTGGATCCTGCTTTCGCTCCAGGAAAGCCCTGTTGTTACCTTTACAGGCCACATGTGTCTTTGGTTTGTTTTTGTTTAGGAAAGAGCAATCCATACTGTGAAATCAGCATGGGCTCCCAGAGCTACACCACCAGAACCCTCCAGGACACACTAAATCCCAAGTGGAATTTTAACTGCCAGTTCTTTATTAAGGACCTTTACCAAGATGTGCTGTGTCTCACCATGTTTGACAGAGACCAGTTTTCACCAGATGGTAAAGTATAATTTAGCTAGGGGGTCTGAAGTATCCCCAGCACTCTAGAATCTAGGGTCTTGATCCAGGGTACTTGGCCTTATTTTTGCCCCATGACACCTCAGGGAAATGACACAAGCCCATGGTCATCAGCAGGTCTCATTGGCAGCAGATGGGGTGCCTTCTCGGGGGAGGGGGGCGGCCTCAGGTGTGTTCACATCTTTGGCCCAGTCACTCCCTACATAGACAATAGAAACACTGTGCTCCTGGCACGTGCTGAGTGGGGGACACGGTCCCTGACCAGTGACTTGGATTCCAAATAGACAGTTTCCTTCACACGAATCTCTTATTCTGCGTGCATCCATTCACAGTACCAAACAGCCAGTGACCAAAAGAAGTTACTTGTTTTGGATTTGAAAGTTGTATGAATCCTGTTTCAGACACCCCTCATGTGGTGGTTTTGAACAATTTTATAAAGAAGACTTTTGACTCTCACATGTCTATTCACCAGATTTCCTGGGTCGTACTGAAGTTCCAGTGGCAAAAATTCGAACAGAACAGGAAGGCAAAGGCCCTACAACTCGGCGACTCCTGCTACACGAGGTCCCCACCGGGGAGGTCTGGGTCCGCTTTGACCTGCAGCTTTTTGAGCAAAAAACTCTCCTGTAGGGGCTGTGGGAATCTGCCCACTAGGCTGGGGCTGGAGGAGATGGCCGGCGCTGCCCCGAGGCTCCAGGAGCGCCACCTGGCTTCATCCATCACAAGGCCACGCACGCTGGGGCCTTCTGTTTTATTGCACACTAAATCGCTAGCGATCTATGCAGACATGACCTTTCCTATAAATAAACCCCACCCATAGCACAGTGCCTTGTACTAGTGTTAACATGTTCGGCTGTGTTTAGATGCCAAGGTTTCCGTTTTCAGGGCTATAAAAAGTATTATGTGGAAATGAGGCATCAGACCACCAGACGTTACCACTTGGTTGAATGTGTCCACTGTGGGTGGTTTTGGTGATGCTGTAACCATTCCACGCCATGTGACCTCTGCTGGGTCACAGCCACTCAGGAGGTGAAGGATTGGGACGAAATGCTGCAGCCTCAGCATGTGAACAGCCTGATACCAAAATAGTGTCTACTTGTGCACTGAATAAAAAACAGAAACTTGATCATTTTATTCCTGATTAGATTTTATCATTCTCTGCTGAGACAATATAGTTTGAAATCTAAGGGGGAAAGCTTGATTTACTTTAAATACTGTGAACTCTAATGATGTGGAAAATATTTTTCAACTTTAATTTTCTGAAATATAAATTATTTATGTAAATTCCTTGTTTTGCATATTTCATAGGACATACATCTTTAAGCTTTATCATTGCCAATATGTACAGAAAGAGAATAAAAATACAAGTTTATGAATGTAACTTCTTTCAAAGCTTGCCTGATTTACTTTCTACATGAAAGTTCTTAAAAGGTAACTTCAGAGGTTGCTTATAATGAAACCAAATTTCCTTTCTGCCACAGTGGGAAAATCAAGGACAGGGTAGGGAGGGGGAGTGCTCAGGAGACCCCAGAGCCTCGTCTTGACTCTGCCATTGACTTGCTCTGTGACTCTGTTACATTCACCTACTGTTTCTCTGAGGGCTAGACTGAAGGACCTCTGTGGGCGCTAGACCATACCCTTTTGAGTCCTTCTGCTTGCCTAGTTGAGTAGAAACTTCAGGGGTAACTTAGGAGTAAAGAAGATGCACAAGTATGAAGCACCATCAGCAGGCCCCTCGGCCCCTCCAGCTCCAGAAGCACCTGTCTCTCCACCGGCCCCCTGTCCTATCAGAGCCACATGCACACCTGTCAGAGTGGCGTATTTGGCTTCTGGATTTTGAAGTACGAAATTTGTTTTGAAAATTGATAAAAATAAGGTCTTATACACTAAACCTTAGGTTAATAAGTATGACTGGGAAAAAGGTCTGTCTTGTGGAAGGAATTGCTCAGGCTGGTTTCTCAGGGAGCAGGTCTTCTCGAGGAGCTGGAGGAAGGGAAGGATTCAGATGTCCCTCCGCCATAGCTCCCATTTCCGTCTAAACATAATCGCTGGACAGAGAAGAGCTGGAAAACATAATTCAGAATATTCATATTTTTAAAAATCCATCACAAAATCATCACAGGTATGGATCCTGGCCCTGATTGGTTAAAACACAGACATAAAAGAAACATGCCACAGTGTCCAAGGAAGAGACACCACTCAGTATCTGAAACTAAAACAACTGAATATGTTGCCTAATTACGGGGAAGTCTGGCTACTCAGGCGCAGCCTCGGTGAGCAAAGCAAAGTGCCGATGTTTTGTAGGGTTATGGGAAATGTTTCGTGCTGGTTACGAGGCAAGTGTGGGCTGACGTCCAGCGAGTCTGCCTCTGACTGGCTGACTTCCAGAGCAACAGGCTGTGACTGATGCGTCGGGCAGGTTTAAAACCAGCTCTGGGGTTACTTGTGACCACAGCTACAGAATAATCCTTTTCCCACGACCGTGAGGACTTTAATTCTCACTGGGATGAACGGTGGCTAGTGCCATGTCTCCATGTCTAGATATGTCAGAGTTCTTTTCAGATTTAGGACAGAGGAGCCTGTGGGATGTGAGTCAGACAACTTGTACAAAACTATGGAGGATATTGAATGTCAGTACTCCCAGCAACCCCAGTCAACCCCTTTACCCCAGGAGTACAGCTCTGCCCTTAAGAAATCAAGTTCTGTCCTGATTTTCTGAAGGGCACGGGGAGAGGAGGAGAGGGTGCACCCTGAGAACACTACACACCCGCCAGGGAAAGACTGAGCCGATGTGAGGCATGCCCAGCATGCCCCTTCAGCGCTCTTCAACGTCAGGATGCCAAGGCAGGTGAGCAGGATAACTCCATCCTCTGAAAGACGACTCCAATACTGAGCAGTCTAACATTACAAAGTCTGAGTGGACGTGAGGAGAGTGTGCCCTGGTGAAGGAACGTGTGCTTTGGCACCAGAGGGACTGGACTAGGAATAGGACACTGCCACTTTCAAGCTGTGCAATTGACCTTGAGCAAGCCACCGAACCTCTGGGAGCTTCATGTATTGGGAGATAATACTATCTTGCTGTGAAAAGCCATTAAATGAATATAAAATACCTCACACAGTTCCTGGTTCACAACAGGAGCTCAATAAACAATAACTATTATTATTTGGATATTTCTTGCAATATCTTTCCACTTCTGGAGAGAGAAAACATGGTGGTAGTATTTTAACTTAATAGACACTGCAAACTAAAGTTCCACAAAGCTTTATTACACACGCCTCCTCACAGCTGGTGCAGTTCCCAGCTCTCTTGCCGGACCCCCAGCTGCAGGGTGGCCAGGTGCTGGGCCAGGACCTCTGCTGTCATCACTCTTCGTTCCACAGGCTGGGACCCCCTTCTGTGCTGGCCTTCCCCAGCCGCCCAGGATTGGGGTCTGTGCCGTCTGGTTCCTAAAACCTATTGACACAAGAGAAGAGCTGAGTGTAGGGTGGGGAGGAGGGGCCTACAGGGAGGAATGCTCCAGCTGATCCCACCCGACACACAGCCCTCCTGCTGGAGCTGAGACCTTCCAGGCAGCTTCTCAAGCATCCCTCTCCTCACCTCCCTCCCTCTATGTGGTTTCTGCAACTCTCAGACAAGGCTTTCCGTGTCTCTGGACTCCATGCGGTACTAACCTTTTCATGGTATGGCAGAGATGACAAGCTGTCCACAAAATGCTTCCTCTCCCTGCCATTGTGTTCAGACCAGCCAGGGACCACTTTTCCCAGCGCCCCGCCCCCTGCAGTTAGGGACGGCCACAGCAATGGCCACAGGCCACAGGTGAGTGATGGAATGTGTGAGGCAGGCCCACATACACTCCCAAGGCAGAACTCCTCCATGATCTCTTCCCTTTCAGGCTGACAGGAATGAGTTCCCCAGGGCAACCTTGGAGGCCAGGTGCTGAGGATGACAGAGCTTCCATCAGCCAGGTCCTGAAAGACTGCATGAAAGAGGGACAGCCTGCCAAGCTGCTGACCCACCCGGTTCTAGGACAGGTGCAAAAAATAAACTTCTGTTGTGTGTAAACCACTCTCTTCTATGGGGATCTCTCGGTAACAGCAGTTAGGCTACCCTGCCACAGGGCAGAGCTGACTACAGTCACATGCAGATGGGACTGAGGGGCTCCCTGTGCTCTCACATACAATTTATGCTCAGAGGAAACTGCTGAGGAAAGTGGTATGGTAACTTCCCATATAAGGAGAATCCATTTCTCTGGGGAGACTGGAGAGAACATTGGGATTCAGTAGGAGTTGGGTCACAACATATCCAACAAGGTTTTCAAGCTAGAGAGAAGAAATAATCTCTCATCCTTTGTGTGGTGGAGGTGAGGGGCTGGGGTGGTTGGTGAAGGGAGGGATGCGCTCAGGATAGGTCACAGACCAGTTGTCTACCCAGTGCCCCGAAGCCTTCCTTGGAAGCGTCCTAACCCTCAGTCTTTAGGATACACGGTGTGGGAGAGAGGATGGAAGTGGAAAGAAGCCATGGGCTTTAAGCTGTGCCAACTGGAATGTGAGCTCTGGATAAGAAATCTGTGCACAGAAAATTTAAAATACCTTTTAGCCAAAGCAATCCTGGGAGAAAAGAACAAAGCTAGAGGTATCACACTCCCTGATTTTCAAAACATACTACAAAGCTATAGTAATCAAAATAGCATGGTACTGGCACAAAAAAGATTCACAGATCAATGGAACAGAATCAAGAGTCCAGAAATAAACCTACAGATATATGCACAGCTAATCTTTGACAAAGGAGACAAGAATATACAATGGAGAAAGGAAAGTCTCTTCAATAAATGGTGCTGGGAAAACTGGACAGCCACATGCAAAAGAATGAAAGTAGACCATTATCTTCCACCATACACAAAAACTAACTCAAAATGGATTAACGACTTGACTGTAAGACCTGAAACCATGAAACTCCTAGAAGAAAACATAGGCAGTACGCTCTTCGACATCAGTATCATGTCTCCTCAGGCAAGGGAAATAAAAAAGTTAAATAAACAAATGGGACTACATTAAACTAAAAAGCTTCTGCAAAGCAAAGAAAACCATCAACAAAATGAAAAAACCTAACAATTGGGAGAAAATATTTGCAAATCATATATCTGATAAAGGGCTAATATCCAAAATATATAAAGAATTCATATAACTCAACAACAAAAAAACCAAACAACCCAATTGAAAAATGGGCAGAGGATCTGAACAGACATTCCTCCAAAGAACATATACAGATGGCCAACAGACACATGAAAAGATGTTCAACATCACTAACCATTAGGGAAATGCAAATCAAAACTACAATGAGATATCACCTCACGCCCATCAGAATGGCTATCATTAGGGCCAGCCCCGTGGCTTAGCAGTTAAGTGCGCGCGCTCCACTACCCAGGTTCGGATCCCGGGCGCGCACCGAGGCACCTCTTCTCCGGCCATGCTGAGGCCGTGTCCCACATGCAGCAACTAGAAGGATGTGCAACTATGACATACAACTATCTACTGGGGCTTTGGGGGAAAAAAAAAAGGAGGAGGATTGGCAATAGATGTTAGCTCAGAGCCGGTCTTCCTCAGCAAAAAGAGGAGGATTAGCATGGATGTTAGCTCAGGGCTGATCTTCCTCAAAAAAAAAAAAAAAAGAATGGCTATTAAAAAGACAAGAAATAACACATGTTAGAGAGGATGTGGAGAAAAGGGAACCCTCATACAGGTGGGAATGTAAACTGGTACAGCCACTATGGAACAGTATGGAGATTCCTCAAAAAATTAAGAATAGAACTACCACATAATCCAACTATTCCACTTCTGGGTATTTATCCAAAGAACACGAAAACACTAACTTGAAAAGATATATGCACCCCTATGTTAACTGCAGCATTATTCACAATAGCCAAGACTTGGAAACAACCTAAGTGTCCATCAATGGATAAATGGATAAAGAAGATGTGGTATATGTACACAATGGAATACTACTCAGCCATAAAAAAAGATGAAATCTTGCCGTTTGCGACAACATGGATGGACCTTGAGGGCATTACGCTAAGCAAAATATAAGCAAAATAAGTCAGATGCAGAAAGCCAAATACGGCATGATTTCACTCATATGTGGAAGACAAAACAACAACAACAACCACCAAATGCATAGACACAGAGAATAAACTAGTGGTTACCAGAGGGGAAGGGGAGTGGGGGAAGGACAAAAGGGGTAACAGTGACATGTGTATGGTGACGGATGGCAACTAGACTTGGGGTGGTGAACACGATGTAGTCTACACAGAAATTGAAATATAATGATGTACACCTGATATGTACATAATGTTATAAACCAATGTTACCTCAATAAAAATTAATTAAAAGAAAAAGTTCAAGGTAAATCTTTGGGTATTTGTTCATTCAATTTCCACATGGTGAGGGAGGAAAAATAAAAAATAAATAAAAATAAAATTTAAAGAATAAAATACCTTTTATATAACTAAACTATCATGCTGCCCTAATTTTTTTAGTATAAATTTTATTTCAAAAGATTCCTACCTATTGTGACTGAACCAAGGAGAACAAAATTTTGGGTCTGGTTTGGATGTAACAAGTAGTAAATGGTAGAAAATGGGAGAAGAGCTGACAGTCAGGAAAAAGAGCTGAGGGAATCTTAGAGGGCAGATCCCCTCTGGCCAGTTTCCCTCATCTTGTAAGGGCACAATCTGTCCCTCGAAAGCGGGGTCCAGAGTCTCACAATCCGCTCCCTTCCTGAGTTTCTTCACTCGAGACCCCCGTGCCGAAGGGCGCCCTGTCTGTGCCACAGTGCCAAGCCCAGAGGCAACCCCATTTCTTCTGCCTCCTCTTTGTCACTCCCTTCTTTGGCCACTGCCTCCTCCACCCTCGGGAACCCATCTAAGAGGGAGGGATTTGTCAAAGGTTCGGATTCTGGAACCAGTGCTTGCTGTCTGCAGGTGTTGCAAAATTCTGCCATCCCAGCCCTGCTCCCCCCGTCTCTGCTCACCAGACCCTGCTTTTCATTCCTTTCATTCTCCTGGCTGAGCTTCGAGGAATGAAACTGCCTTTCAAAAATAGTCTGACTTAGGTTGGAGGTCTTTTTCTCTTTATCAGGCAGATATTTCTTTTCTGCACAGATAAGCTTTTCAGGACTGCAAAGAGAAAAAAATCATCTCAACTCAATACAAACAGAAGTGTACCATTCAATAATTGTCTGAAAAATAGTTTAGCAAACTCAGTACTCACTTTATGAAAAGGAAAGACTGATTAGACATCACTTGGTGGCTGTCCACCAATCAGTCTGCCCACCCACATCCCTGCTGGCACAAGCCTCAGGCAGGCAGTGTCATGTGACGCTTCTCCGGCTGTGGCTGAGACACCTGGTCCAGAGCCTCCATCCCTAGAGTTGTAACTGGGACAGAGGGGCTTCCAGGCAGCCCTGGAGTACTCAAGCCAGAAAGTCAGGCAGGACTGGAGCGTCCATTCTCCAGCACATGCACAAGCAAGCAGACAATGCCGGCGTGCAGAGAAAGAGAAAGGAGGCAGGGTCACAAAGAGAAGCTATGAGGAAAGCTGCATAGTCCCAGAGAGGAAAGGACTGGCCTCTTCTTGGACCCTCAAGCGGCCTGGCTATCTTCCTGATTGCTGTGGTCTGAATGTTTGTGTCTCCCCAAATTCATACGTTGAAACCTAACCCCCAAGGTGATAGTATGAGAAGGTGGGGCCTTTGGGAGGTGATTAGGTCATGGGGGCAGAGCCCTCACGAATGGGATTAGTGCCCTTATAAAAGAGACCCCAGAGAGCTCCCTCGTCCCTTCCACCATGTGAGGACACAGCAAGAAGGTGCCGTGTAAGAATCAGGATGCGGGTCCTCAGGAGACACGGAATCTGCTGTCACCTTGATCTTGGACTTCCCAGCCTCCAGGACTGTGAGAATAAATTTCTGTTGTTTATAAGCCTCCCAGTCTCTGGAATTCCGTTATAGCAGCCTGAACGGACTGAGACACTGACCATGAATTCCATGACAGACGGGTGCTGTCTAAGATACCTCGGCCCCCTCCCTTTTTTTTCCTTGAGAAGGAGTCTGCTTTTTGTAATAAAACTGTCTCTGACTGACATAGCCAGCTTGCTCTTAAGTCCTTTTCTTACTTCATTGAACAGCCAGGTGAGGCCTCTCAGAGGATTCCCCAGGGCTGCTCCATTCCTGCCCTGAGAAGCCAAGGCCCATCTAGGGAAATAAGCCTTCTTCATTCCTCCATCCATTCATTCATTCGACAAGCACTTACGCATCATCTACTACATTACAGCTAAGTGCTGGGGACACGGAGATAAACAAGACACATTCCATCCCTCAAGGGGCTTGCTGCGGTGGGAAAAGGCACATGGGAGTGTAGAGGTATATCATCACGTGATAACTCCCTCTCTCACCTGGACTGGGACGGCCAGCAATAAACAGGAGCAAAGGCATGAAACAACCTGGCAGGTCAGGGAGTTGTAAACATGCATACTTAACCCAGAGATATTTGTAGTTTATTTAGATTTCTGTTCTTTATGGTGAGGAGATTTTTTAGATGAAGCCAGAAAGGGTTCATGAAGCACAAAGATGAACTTTTTAGATGTGCTTTTTAGATGAAGCACAAAGGCATCTTATGTGCTATGTCAAGGAGTTTGGACTTTATTATAAGGGTTATGGGAAGGTACTGAAGTGTTTTCAGTTGGGGAAGGCCGATCGCTTCAAAAAGATTCCTTGGGCTGCTAGGTGGAGAGTCCACTGCAGGAGACCAGACTAATGGGAAGAACATTATTTAAGGAGCTGTGACCACAAAGACTGATGAGCTAGAGACGGGAGATAAAAAAATAAAGCAAAATAAAGCCTTTGTCTTGCTGGGGCATAAGGAGTTATATAATTATTGATATTTAAATAAAAATGTTTGTTAAAATTGATAAACCACAAAACCAGAAATAGAACATAAAAATTCCAAATTCACTATGGAAAACAGAAACAAAGTAGCATCATTTTTTCCAGCAAAACTCAGGATGGGGGATAAAAAGGAAACATCAAGAGAACATGACAGTACTTCTATTTTTGTGCAGGATATAAAAGTTTGCACAGGCCAACACTCCTGCTACAACAAGAAAACACCAGAAACTTTATTGAAAAAAAAAAAATCATAATTTTAAAGTCACTGGATAGCTGTGGAAACAATTCCAGAGAGGAGACAGCCCTTCCAGAATGAGTTGGAATCTCTGGCTATTTTCTCCCCTGGGAGGATTTGCCAACCTCAGGTACCAGGGTAGTAGAGACTGATTACTCCATGCTCCCAGCATATCTTTGGTGGAATTTTCTTCCTGGGCCTGGTTGCTGTCCTGGCAGGTGGGTAGTTAACCTTGTTTCTCATCTCCCTCCCCCTAGTGGGCAAGTCAAGCAGTGCATTGGAATAGGTTCCTTGGTGAGGTGAGGGGTGGAGACCCTCCAGGCCCTGAGTACAAGACAGCCTTCCCCAAAACCCAATAAAATGCTAGAACTATAAAAATAAAACAATTTGAAAATAAGAACTCAATGAGTGGGTTTAACAACAGATTATTAGATACAACTGAAGAGATTATCAGTAAAATATCTAGAATCACATATGGAAAGCAAAAAGGATGGAAAATACACAAGAAAAGGTCAAAGACAGCAAGGATACAGTAAGAAAATCTAAAATATGTTTAACTGGAATACCAGTAAGAGAGGAGAGAGAGAATATGGCAGAGGTAACAATCAAAAAGAAAATGACTGAGAACTTTCCAGAACTGATTAAAGACCTCACTTTACAGATACAAGACCCATGAATTCTAAGCAGGATAAATAAAAAGAAATCCACATCTAGAAACATCATGTAAAACTACAGAAAATCAATGACAATAAGGAAATCTTAAAAGCATCCAGAGAAAAAGACAATTATCTTCAAAAGAACAACATGAAGATTGGCAGCTGACTTAACTAAAAAAGTAAAAGACATTGGGCCGGCCCCATGGCTTAGCGGTTAAGTGCGCGCCCTCCGCCACTGGCGGCCAGGGTTCGGATCCCAGCTTCGGATCCCAGGCGCGCACCGACACACCGCTTCTCCAGCCATGCTGAGGCCAGGTCCCACATACAGCAACTAGAAAGCTGTGCAACTATGACATGCACCTGTCTACTGGGGCTTGGGGGGAAAATAAATAAATAAATAAATAAAAAAGTAAAAGACAGTGAGATATATGTTGAAAGAAAATAACTGCCAACCTAACATTCTTAATCCTGTGAAATGTCCTTTAAGAACGAAGGTAGGGGCTGGCCTGGTGGTGTAGTGGTGAAGTTCTCGTGCTCTGCTTCGGCGGCCCGGGGTTTGCAGGTTCGGATTCCGGGCGTGGACTTACGCAGCACTTATCAGGCCGTGCTGTGGCAGCGTCCCATACATAAAGTAGAGGAAGATGGGCACAGATGTTAGCCCACAGCCAATCTTCCTCACCAAAAAAAAAAAAAAAAAGAATGAAGATAAAGTCTGGAAAAGGCTACATACTGTGTGATTCCAACTATATGACATTCTGCAAAAGGCAAAGCTGTGGAGACAGTAAGAAGATCGGTCAGTCAGTCGGTGCACCTGTACCTGCGTTTCCTACGAGTCCTACTTCTCCCAGGGCTCACAGAGGCTTTGTGCCACGCTTTCGGAATCACACTGTGTAGAGTGAAAGCGAACTGGGGCAATTTGCCATACAGCCTGGCCTTCTCTATTTCTTTAAATTCTTTTAAGGTATATCGTTTTCCTAGAGGAAGATAAAAAATATAAATCAACACTCTTAAAGTCAAGTCCAGCCACTCCTGAGGTAGGAAATCATTTTACAATTAGAAGTCTCTAAAAATAAAGCCCAGCGTCGCCAAGTACCTGTCTTGTATTGAAAAACAGCTCTCTTCTCTTCATCCGTCTCTTGCTGTCTTCTAAACAGAGGGTCACAAAATGGAGGGACTGTAACCTACAAGAAAGATGGCTCTCTGAGGATCCAGGTGCAGTCTGTATTAAGCTTTTTAAATCTGTGTGAAGCGTTCAGCTACGGCTTTGCTGTACACAAAGCAGCCGAGAATAAGCACCCATGAATAACGTCAATCCGTAGAGGAGGGGAAGGGTAAAAGTCACCTGCCTCACACTAGGACATTTCACTGAGCCGTAAGTGGCTGAATGGAGGGAGGGCCGCCCAAATAGAAGGGACAGACTTCTATTCAGAGTTCTGCAGTATCATTGCATCAGTCACTAAATATTAGCTGACACTACTACATGCTGCATCCTGGTGAGGTCCTGTCTGCAGGGATCTCTCAGTCTAGAACAGACAAGTCACATACAACGACAATCTAGTCATGAGAGGCATCAGCTTAGGATGCTTTAGGAGCACGAGGCAGCACTCCTAAGCAGCCTGAGAGGAAGAGATCTCCTGGGGGAGCTGACAATCAGTCTTTAAGGGCCTGTGAGAACAGGAGGGCAGGTGAACCTCAGTATGGACGAGTGTCAAGGGGCTGGGGTACAGAGGTTGTGGATAAAGGCCCCTCCTAATTATAGGCTTTAGACAGAGATGTTTTCCCCTTCTTTACTTCCTCCACACGCTTGACCCAAAGCTGGTCCCCGAAGTACACTTTGGGCAGTTACTGAATAAGTGAGGCAGCATAATGACTGCCTGACATGCTACTCAGCGAGTCACAGCCAAAAGAACCTTCTTGTCTTCATAACAACGATCTGCTTTGGTTTTCTGGGAGAAGCAAAATAAACTACTTCTCTCCTCAGAGCCACACACATTTTTTTTAATGAAAAGTAATATCAGATGGCTACTTCCACTACACAGGAGTAAAAGCTGAAACCCACATCTCAAAATTTTAACTTATGTATTGGCAGGTTTAAAATGTTAAGACTCATTACAAGCTCAACGACTGGCTCTCTGGGCAGCCTTTCCCGCCATCCCTCCTTCCACCTCCCGCAGAAAGGAGCTCAGCCTCCTGCACCCACTGCCCCCTGCACTGATTCTCTGACACACGCATCACACCCCACTGCACTCGCTGTCCACGTGTCTTCCTCTCCCTTCTAGGCTTCCAATTTGCTGAATGTGAGTGGATTAACGAATGAACAAACGAACAAATTATCACACACGCACACCTTGTTCACAACGTAAATTCCCCAGTAGTCGAAATTACTTTGGGTTCCTATTCTAAAACTCAAGGGAAATGCTTCTGTAGATTTATTTTTATGAATACAGAGTAACTACAAGGTTTCTAAAATGATTAGGTTTTCCCCATCCCCAGAGCTTCTAAGAAAAAATAAACAAAAGTAAGAAACTTACTTACTTACCTTTCCATAATTTGGGTCCTTTTTCATCATATAAAAAGGATTGTATACTTCAGGATCATAAAAGTCTCCTATCATTTCCTTTGGGGGAAAAAAAAAAGTACACCTAAAAGTAAATCACCACATACAAACATGTTTAGCAAGATTCAAAAAAGCCAAATACTTTATTCCATTTTTATATAAAATCATAGATTCAAAGGGTTAGAAAACACCTCAGAAGTACTTTAGACTGCGGTGAGAGTTCACCACCTTCTGGGAGAAAATCATCCAGCTTGAGTCTGATGTCATCAACCACCCTTAGTTGGAGAACTTTCCGCTCCATCAGGCAGACTCTCTTTTGGTCATTCTAACAACCAGGAAGTTGTCCTTAGACTGAGTTGAAATCTGCCACATGCAGATACTAGTTCTCTCCCCTGAAGCAACACAAAATACATCTACCCATTATCCACGTCAGCCTTCTAAATATTTAAAGGTTTCATTCCCCCTCATGTTTTCTCCTCGTTGGGCTAAATACCCCATATTTCTTTCCACTTTTCCTCCTGTGAAGTGTTGTCAAGCCTCCACCCTCTTCTGAAGGTTCTACAACTGGTGAATGTCCCCTCTACAGTGGGAATGGGAGTGAGGAGATGACGACAGGATGGACAGGGTGGACTCTGATACTTTCCACTCTAAGCGCAGCCTCTCTCAATACAGCCTAAAAGCTCGAATGTGTTCTTGGAAGCCAGCTTACGTGGTTGACTCACACTGAATTCACTGTCATTTAAAACCACTCAGACTTCAACACACGGCTTTTCTAAGGCATGGCTTCCCCACCCTATACTTGTATGATAACATTTCTGGGCACAACTGTAAGACTTTTCACTTTAGTTTCAAAGAGACCTGGCTTTGACCTTGAGCTCTTCCTCTAGGGCATTTAGGAAGAAGTATTTAATGTACATATCTAGAAATCTTGCTCAGTAAATATACTTAAATGCTCTAACATTCCAGTCAAACTCCTCTGGATCTCTAGTAAATATCTGGAAATTTAAGGGGGCCTAAATTTCAAAAGAGGGTTCTGACTTCAAAGTTAAAACAGAAAAATCTTCAAAAGTGGCAGCCAAAATTCTGTTGTTGTTTTGTAAAGCCAAACAGAAGAGCAGAGAGTAGAAACTGGTGGTCCCTATACCTAACGGTCGGCTAACTCAACAGCCACGGAATCCCCTTCTCCGTTGCCTACTTCCTACTACAGAGATCGGAAAGCCACACCTCTCTTTCCTGGCCCTGCTTCTAGCTAGCATTTGCGATGTGACCCAGTCATGGCTGATGAGACCTACGGGGAAATCTGCCAGGAGCTTCTGGGGATCTTTGCTTCCTGATCAAAGGATCAGGTGTTAAGAAAAGGGTCCCCTGGGCCGGCCCCGTGGCTTAGCGGTTAAGTGCTCGCGCTCCGCTGCTGGCGGCCCGGGTTCGGATCCTGGGCGTGCACCGACACACCACTTCTCCGGCTATGCTGAGGCCGCGTCCCACATACAGCAACTAGAAGGATGTGCAGCTGTGACATACAACTATCTACTGGGGCTTTGGGGGGAAAAAAATAAATAAATAAAATCTTTAAAAAAAAAAAAAAAAAAAGAAAGAAAAGGGTCCCCTAGCACCATTCCTTACCCCTTCTTCCTGCCTTGAACACAGACCTAACGACTGGAGCTGTAAGCAACCAAATGTGCTTACAAATTTGAGGGTGATGGGGATAAACTGAAAATATTAAGGATAGCAGAATAGAACAATAGGAAAAAACCTGGGTGATTAATGACATTGTTATGCTGCCAGAACCCACCGTGAGACCACCTACCCCTCAATTTCTTGTTAAGTAAACAATAAATGTCCTTGTGGTTTACGTCACTGTTATTCTCTTAACATTCACCTAAAAGCATTCCTGATAAATCTAGTTCCAAATCGACACTTCTATTCCCTCCACTTGAAACTCTAGGTTTAAAAATGCAGTAGGCTGTATTATGGTTCCATGAATTCACCTTAAATAGAAAAATAAGCTTGGGACTGTTTGCACAACCAATGAAAATGTTGGCCCAACTCTTCAAATTATACTTTATTTAAAAAAGTATTCTTAGTACCGTTTTATTCATGTGCTTTAAAAAATATTCAAAATTCTCTTGTTTCGTTTTTTCCAACCCTCTATATGAAATTACTTTTTCCATAATTCTCTGCTGAAGAGGCTCTGCAACATTTTCAATCCATTTTTTATGTAACATCTCTTTTCTTCTTTCCTTAAAAATATCCAGATGCTGAAAATACATATCCAATTTCTAATGAAGTGATACAAACAAGAAAAACAAATTATTAAGAAGTTTTCCACTTACTGTCATTTGAATACAAGGAAAAAACACTTGTTCCCACTCCTAAGCACTCAGGATGTTTGGGTTGCAAAGTCCTAGCATAAGATGACTGAAGAAAAGAATAAAGTTCAGAAAGAGAACCTGAGAGCACAGAGCAGGAAGAACCAAGAAAAGTTCTCAACTGTGCCTTCACATTAAACTGCAACAGAACCACGCCCAACTGATGAAACTCTTCTTTCTGAGGATTTCAAAGCGTTCCCTGGTCACCCATTCCGTATCTCTAGCCTTCATCATCAGTCAAGTCTGTGCCAACACTGGTAGAGTAGAACGAGCACTAGACTTGCTTCACCACAGCTGTCTCTGAATCTACAGATTCATAGGAGGGTAATCTCACCTACCTCTTTCGACACTCAAATGAGAATTTATGTAAACTTCCTTTATAAATTATAAATCACAATACAAATGTTAAAGTGTTATTACAACACCAAATTTCAATCCTTCTCATTGAAATTAAAACCCCCTTAAGTTTATTAATTCCATAGTGACTATCAGTACTGCTTGGTCATTACCCTTAAATACTAATTCATTTCCATTGGGTTTATATATCTCCATTGCAACGTGGGAACATATCAGAAAGAGGTAAGTTTTAGTTGGAAAGAATTTCTATTCAGTACCAGGACAAAGAGGGGGAGCAGTGACAACAATCTCTCAGATTCCCTAAAGATAGATCTGGGAATCCCAACCTCTTAGTGATCCTGTAAGGAGACGGCACAATCTCAGATCTACGTAGCATAAACTAGTCAATCAGAGGAGGCTCATTCTCTCAGCAAAGTGAATCTCTTTGACAGTAACATCCTCTTGGCCACGCTGCTCTGCATTACCCTCACTCACCCAGAACACACTTAGAATCCACAGTCTGTAGCCAACTCTTACCTTCACAACGTAATTTTCTCTAAATAATATAGCGTGTACAGCTTCGTCAATGTCTTCTCTAGCTAATGCCTGAAATTACAGAATTGAATACTAGGATGTAAATTCTGAAAAAACAAACCAGAATGACAAAATTCAGTGTTTTTTACCAATAGTTTTAGTGTAAATCTAATGTCTGTACCTCAAAGCATATTTTTTAACTTTTTATTATGGAAATTTTCAAACACAATTCTGCATGAACCCATCACCCAGGTTCAACAATTATCAACTCAGAGTCAATCTTATGTCATCTGAATCTCTACTTACTCCCCTGCTCCCCACCCCCGCAAATTACTTTGAAACAAATCCCTTACATCATACCATTAAATCATATTTTTAAAGTACCAAGAAAGCTTACTAATTCAAAGGATCCTCTATAAAGTGAATCCTCTTTTCAGGCATTCACTAGGTATGTTTTAAAGGTTCCCTTGACGTTTCCTAACTTCTGCCAGCTCTCTTTATTTTTTTTTTTTTTTAAGATTTTATTTATTTATTATTTTCCCCCCAAAGCCCCAGTAGATAGTTGTATGTCATAGCTGCACATCCTTCT